AAGCCATCTGTACCTGTGGCTTGAAAAGCAGCATTTTCATAGCTTCCGGGACTGTCAACCAAGAAATTTACGTGAAAGAGTGTTTGAATAAACGTCTGCTGCCTTTCCTGAAGAAAAACGGTTGTTCCGTACTGTTTTGGCCGGATTTGGCATCTTGCCATTACGGTAAAAAGGCCATGGAGTGGTACGCCGCCAACAACGTGCAGGTGGTTCCCAAGGACAAGAACCCTCCCAACACGCCAGAGCTCCGCCCAATTGAGAAATACTGGGCTATTGTCAAGCGGAACCTAAAGAAGACCAAAAAAAACTGCTAAGGGCGAGCAGCAGTTCAAGGCAAACTGGCTTTCTGCGGCGAAGAAGGTGGACAAGGTGGCTGTACAAAATCTGATGGCAGGGGTCAAGCGTAAGGCCCGGCAATTCGGATTTGGAAAAGCGGAAGCCTAACTGAATATTTTTCCTGAATTTTATACTAATTGAACTTGAAAAAGAAATTTAATTTGATTTTTTAAATAAACGATTTCACCGATTTACACGCGTTTTCCCTTGACCAAATTTTGACCGTATCACCCTTTATGTGTCAAGACCACTAGAAAAGGTAATGTGTACGTTATTATATATGTTGATGATCTCCTAGTTGCGGCGACCATTTGGACAGCAAGAAGACACTTTCCGAGATGTTCCAAATATCAAATTGAGTGAAATTGACTACTTCCTGGGAATCAACATTCGATACGACACGATGACAGGAGCTCTATCATTGTCCCATGATACTGGAATCAATCCAGGAGATTCCGATTGGCAAAATTTGAAGAGAATCGCACAAAGGACATGAAGCTCTTTCACACCAAGAAGGATAATTCAACTGCTCTTGTGGGATTTGCCGTCGTGGATTGGCCTTCAGATACTGTATACAGGAAATCTGTGTCCAGATTCGTATTTCAAGTTTTTGGCAGTACAGTTTCGTGGGACAGCATACATACAACAGACGGTGGCCTTATCAACTAGTGAAGCTGAATACGGTGCGCTAAGCATGGCTGTGTCTGAAGGTATATGGCTGAAAGGAATTGGCATCGGATCAGTCCTTCACGATCTTCGAGAACAACCACGGGTGTATTTTTATCGCGAAGAACGCAGAATGTAGAAGAGCGATGTCAAGCATCACGTCAACGAGGGAACACTGAAGATTGAGTCAATCCCAAGCAACAAGTAATTAGCGGATATAGTCACCAAAGCGCTGAGTACTACAAGATTTCAAGAACTTCGGAATGTCCTAGGATTAGCCGATTAAAAAGGTGTATTGATGTAATCGAAATCGGAGCTACCGAGCTACTTTATTAGCTGTTAGCAAATCCTTAGCAACGCTATTGATTTTAAGTAACAAGTAAATAAACATTTTCATTCGAATTGTAACACTCAACAAAATCAGTCCTATATAACAATTGTTCCCGTTTCCAAACCACTGCTGTTTATTTACTCTCAAGAGTATCCAGCAAGGATGTACAATAGATCCACCAAGCGAGAGGATTCTAAACAACACTGCAGAAAACAGCAACTTTATTTATTGCCTGGATCATGAGATATTGCATGTACACGAAATTCACCTGAACACTGGAGCCACCTAGTGAGAAAATTTTAAACTAAAAAATACACTGTAGTGTTAGCTTTTGTCATCTAAATCACATTGCAGAAGACCGCGTCCTCCTGTCTAACACATATCATGAGTAATTTTTTTCTATAGAGTTGATGAAAAGACACTAACACCACCTAGTGAGTCAATTGTGCACCATTTTAAAGAGATTGGTCCATAGAAAATTTAGCTTCTCGACAGTAATCAAAAATGTAACTGATCTATGAGTAGATCACTGGGCGTTAATCGCTTATTTCTAGATAGAGCTGGAATTAGGCCGTAACAGCTTTTGTAAACAATGACTTCTCTCGTTGATTTCTAGATACTCCAGGCACGCCTACACAAACCAACATATCCATCGGGTAGGGGAGGTCTTCCCCCACTCGATGGTTATGTCGATTTACCAGAGAGAATCATGACTTTCGAGAAATCATCGACAGAAGTCAATGTTTACAAAAGCTGTTGAGCCCTAATTCCAGCTCTATGTTGAATTGGTCACCATATACCAATCCTTCCAGCATAGTCACTTGATAATTTTCAATAACCAACCCTGATCATTGCAATCCTATGGGAATTTTTAAAAAAAGTTTCCGCCCCTTCTTTTTCTTATTATTTGGCTTTATTACGTCCATACTGGGACTTTACGCCAGCCCTCAACTTAGGCTGTGAACCATTTGCTGAGTTAAATTTAACTCGTGGTTAAAAGTGACATTTCAAAAGTTATTTTCTATGTTCGAAAATCCCCGTGCTGTCGATCGACCGGTTTTCGAGCCACGGTTGTCAAAATTTAACTTCTTGTCTGTCAGAAATAACCATACTCGGATAGCAGGGTTAATCGATAACTTTCCATCTGTCAAATTTTTACCAAAAGTTGAAAAATCCACCAAATGGTTCAGAGCCTTAGTGTTCTTCGAGCACTTCTACCGTTGTTAATTAAGAGCTTTCTAAGCCTATACCATTTTTGCATAAATATGATTGTGTGGTAAGGCAAGTACAATCATAGTCTTATGCCCAGGGAAGTCGACCGAACCGGGAATCGAACCCAACCACCTCTCCAGCATGGTCTTGCTTTGTAGTTACGCCTTTACCGAGGGGCATTAAAAAATTTAAAACCCACTGACATAGCGAATGATAACGATGTTATACATAGCGATGCACCAGTAAAACAACACACTAAGATTATTAAGTTCGGTGATTTTTCACAGATTTCCTGTAATTTTTCACCGAATATCTGTGAAAAGTTACAGGAAATCTGTGAAAAATCACCGAACTGTTTACCGAACGTTCAGCTGTTGAGATTTCGGTAAAACTTCACAGATTTCCGTAAAATAATCTAAGTGTGTAACATAATAATATGTTGTGAATAAATCGACTAGCTCATACCTTTTTTGGGATTACTAGCGGGACCATTAGGGTTGATGCATATATTATGTCACGCTCTAAGGGGGAGGGAGGGTCTAAGATTTTGTGACAAGCAATGCATTTGCTCGATTTAGCGTGACATAATTAATGCATGGGCCCTTATCATCTACAAAAAAATAACCTGTAATCATCCCAACGCTCGTGAAACTCGAGGGGCCTTATTACGGGTGTCACTACACGGTGGTAAGGAAGTGATACTCATAATAAGAGCCGTGATTGCCGTACAAATCAAATGGGAATCACTTCACCGTGACGACAAGTGACAAGTTTTCACCGTGAAGTGACATCCGTAATAAGCCCCCTCGAGCCCCCCTTCATCACATAAATCAACGTTCTTACTCCCAACTTATCATCATGCATTAGTTATCATCATGAGCATCATTGATGCGTAAAATTTAATATTCTTCATTCACAGCGGAACTCCTCAACAGGAAATCATCTCAAATATTCCAACCGGCACTGCCAGCAGCCATGTGTTGGTACCATCCACACTCTATACTCGTTTCCCATATTTGCTTGCTATTGTGTTCACCTCACACAATGTGCATGTCATAAATTCGTGGGTTAATTTGCAAAACCATCAGCCAGCAGCACCACAGAAAGGCACATGCCCTGCCTACCTCACGCACTGAAGGGAGATTCGCTGCATTGCCATCCCAGCTCTACTTTCTTTACTCTGACTCTCATGGCACTATTATAGTACAAACCACATGCAAGCAAGCGAGAAGACGATCTATGCTGCCTATCGACAGGCAATCGAACTTTACAACTTCTCGGAAAGTTCCTCTCAATAAAACGAGACACGATCGTCAGGGCCCAGGTCACTTACACAACGAAACGCGAGAAGACAGCACGAGGGGAAAAGTTATGTACATACAAAGTAGTTTGCTGTCGAGCTGTAGGTAGTAATAATAACAATGATGAATGCAACAACACCAACAAACAACAGCGAACAGAATACGTTCAAGATGCAGAAAAATTGTATCAAACAGAGGCTATGAACACTCCGGGCAAGCATCCATGATGGGAGCCAGTGCGACCGACAACGGCGACGACCGTGCGAAGCTGGTGTGTGAGGAGATGATAATTGATCTTTTCGAAGTCAACACACACGGGAGGTGACGCGCTGATAGCGAGAGCGAGGCCCGGGCCGTGGCCAGATGAAGTCTATCGAAACCGTTTGCCTGAACCAGTTTCGACGATCTGGTCTGGATTTGATTTGAGGGGTCCAGTAGGTAGTAGCATGAAGATGTTCCAATAACTGACCTTTCTGCTCCTGAGCGACACCTCCTTGATGTCGATTTCCGAATATTGCCGTATCAGGTATCACTCCCCACTTCGAAAATGGGTGGCTCAAATTTCAATTAGGTCTCATTTAGGTTCGCATTTTGTCTGTATGGTGGTAAAATTTTCAAACCCAACTTAGACCCCATGTAGTGTGGTACGTCCTGTTTTCGCCGTATCCCATTCAGAGCTCTCTCTATCTCTCTCTCTCTCTGAGGGGTTGGCGAGATGTAACTCTGCAACAGCAAGGTGCACCTTTCCTTATCACGCACCGCTTTTTGATTACGAACTAGTATGACTTGGTTGCTGGTTCACTAGCTCGTATGCAAAGTATGCTTCGTGCCATTATGCTAGCCGAAGGCATTAAGGTCGTCGCCTGGGGATGGCGAGTTTCAAGCGACCGAGATCCGCCGTAGCTCGCAAAACATGTTGTTGATTATGGTTGAAGAGAGTAGTTGGCTGGCTGGGAGGAGCCTCCACCATCCCGCTATTATCTGTGTCACGCAAAATCCAACCACAAACAACCAAGCAAGTGAGTGCGCGAGTTAGTGAGCGAACGTGTGCGTGTCCGTTAGGTGAAGGCCGAATCGCGATGTAAACATAACACAAAATGTATATTTTGCCTAAGCCTGGTACTAACATCATGTTTTTCTCTGTCTCGTTTTAGGTTCTTCCACATCACCGACCCGTCTAGAGGCGGACGCAGAAACAGGAAGAAATTAGTGTGGCAGCTTTTATGAAGAAAAGTGTGTTGGTAGCTTATCGAGCGTAAGCGAAAATTTGAAAAAAAACTGTGACCCAGTGACTGTGTGTTTTTTGGTGTGAGAAGCAAAGTAAGATACGTAAGCTAAAGTTGGTTCAAGCATAGTTTGGATCCCACCGCGGCGCCGTCACGATGTATGCAATGGATGATAAGAACTCCTCCGGCAGTGGTGGCGGGGGTAGTGGCACCGGAAGCCTCGGCGAAACCAAAGTCATCTACCACATAGACGACGAAACGACACCCTATCTGGTCAAGATCCCACTTCCCTCCAGTCAGGTTACCCTGAAGGATTTCAAACTGGTCCTCAACAAGCAGAACATCAACTACAAATACTTCTTCAAATCCATGGACGCTGACTTTGGCGTGGTGAAAGAGGAAATAGCCGACGATTCCACAATATTGCCATGTTTCAACGGGAAGGTCGTATCCTGGCTGGTGACGGCCGACGGGTCCAATCAGTCCGAGTGTTCCGAACTGCAGCCGTCGGAAATGATCGACGGACGGCCCACCCTAGCACAGCTGCGAACCATGAACAAACCAATGAACAACATGATGAGTATCCCGATGAACCCACTGACGTACCAATCGGCCTCAGTCGTGTCCAGCGATCTGGACTCGACCTCGCTCTTCGAAACGGAGAGCGAAATTACGCTAGATAGAGATATGACTGAATGCAGCAGCGTGCAGCGGTTGCAGGTGCGGAAAAAGCCACAGCGGCGCAAAAAACGGGCCCCGTCGATGTCCCGAACCTCCTCCTACAGTTCCATCACCGATTCGACCATGTCGCTGAACATCATCACGGTGCAGATCAACATGGACACGGTGAACTTCCTCGGAATATCGATCGTCGGGCAGTCGAACCGGGGTGGCGACGGCGGCATCTACGTCGGCAGTATAATGAAGGGAGGAGCGGTGGCACTGGACGGTCGGATCGAACCCGGTGATATGATATTACAGGTAAGTAGAGGATGCACAGTTATCGATAGAAAGTGAAGTGACACATCCGTGCTGCATGGTGTGGTTACGATTTGAAGGAGATTCTGGAGCATTTTCTAGTGTTTCAGAAAAACAATTACCTTGTCAGTGCAAATTTCTTAAGGACACCACATTTCCCAATTCTTAGAGACTTGGAATCAATTTGTAACAAACCATACAGTGTGTCAAGAAATTTACCGTACAGCTGTCCTTATATTTTAGAAAAACATATGAGCAAGTACGAGTCAAAAAGAGATTGGTCTGAATTCTTGGTTGCTTAGGTACTCATCAAATATTTTTCGTTTATCGGTATTTGGTTGAGTGCTCAAGAAATTCAAGCTATTTTGGGAAAACGCCTTTTCTAAAAAAAAATAATTTTCTAGAAATTTTATCGAGCCAAGATTTATGAAATTTGGCTTAAGGACCATGCACTTAGTACGTAAGATTTTTCTTTGGGATTTTCATATCCCAGCTCACCCTTGGTAAGATCTTACGTTGAACATTAACATTTTCTGTATTCTTCATGCAGGGTGTCGACTACCTGGAAAATCAGGGAATGTCTTTAAAATCAGGGAATCATTTCTTAATTCTCTCTGAAAAGTATAACTGACCTCGCTAGTCTCATACAATTAAATTACGCGGTGTAGTTTTAGGATGTTTATTAATTATTAAAATCTTCAATAGAATTGTGAAATTGTGAGTTCTCTGCTTAAACAAAGAACATAGTCTTCTTCAGCTGCATAAGTATTGTATAAAACGACAAGGTACAGCCCCATAGGGTTGTGCGCATTGGTGACGTAGGACTACGTGGGTTTATATAATAAATCTTATTTGTTAACTGCAGCAGGAGCTTGTGTTTTGTGTAGGAATAGGAATTTGAGCGGGGTTCTCTCTGCTTATACTCTTTAGTATGACGCGTTTGACATAGATGGCCCCCAGCGACTCACGAAGAGCTACTGATTCCGATCAATAGCGGTGAGGCTTCTTCCTCCTTCTATGGATGCTCATGTGGGCTGCAGCTCGCTGCTTGCACGCAGCCTTTCGTTGTGTACTGGAGAACATCACCACTCACCACGCGGAGATTGAATAAACACCGTATGGTGAGACCGGATGGAATACAACTTTGAAATCCGTGTTAGGGAAATCGTTTTTCGCAGGCAATCGGTGATAATTTTAACTATCATTGCAACAGTTGCACATTCGTGCAATTTTCAATAGTGACAGTTTTAAATATAATAAAGTCTTAACTTCAACAGATTCGTAGAAAAAATTCCTATCGATTGGCGTGTTAAGAATTAAAATCCATCATCTCTGATTCAAAATCAGACCACTTTCATGCCGCGACCGACTTTGGCATTTGAAATTGCACCCCCAATGTTGCCTTCAAGAACATGGTATGTTTGATTTATACATATCTAGATAGAGCTGGAATTAGGCGTAACAGCTTTTGTAAACAATGACTTCTCTCGATGATTTTTAGGAATTCAAGGCACGCCCACGCAAACCAACATTACCGTCGGGTAGGGGAAGTCTTACCCTACCTGATGGTGATGTTGATTTGCGTGGACGAGCCTTGAATTCCTAAAAATCATCGAAAGAAGTCATTGTTTACAAAAGCTGTAACGCCCTAATTCCAGCCCTATCTTGAAATGGGAACTGACATCCGATTGATAACCTTGACAGATGTCCAGAAAATACTCTTTATTTATGGTGGACCGTTTTTTCGTGATGGTTGAGTAATGCTGAGCTATTAGGGTGTTAAACACAGATTAGGCTGGTGAGTTGTATGTTGTTTGGAATGAGGGTGACGCGCTTGACATAGATGGCCCACAGCGACTCACGAAGAGCTACTGATTCCGATCAATAGCGGTGCGGTTTCTTCCTCCTTCTATGGATGCTAATGTGGGCTGTAGCTCGCTGCTTGCAGGCAGCCTTTCGTTGTGCACTGGAGAACAATGTTCAACACCACGCGCCAAAAGCACTGCTGCTGCTGGAGCTGATGCTGACGACCGGACACCACCACACACAATGATTGGAACTGAATCCGATCAGCGGTTGAGGCCAGCCTTGATAGCTAGCTGCTTACGGGGAGCTTTTCGTTGTGTACTGGTGAACACAACCACTCACCACGCGGAGATTAAATAAACACCGTTTGGTGAAACCGGATGGAATGCAACTTTGAAATCTGTGTTAGGGAAATCGCTTTTCGCAGGCAATCGGAGATAATTTTAATTATCATAGCAACAGTTTGAATAATTTTAATTACTGACATTTTGAAAAAGGATAAAGTCTTAAATTTAGCAGATGCGTCAAAATATTTCTGATCGATTGGTAACAAAACTATTGAAATTGATCCAGGGGCACCTGAGTTATTAACGATCAAAATCTTTCATAATTTTGTTAAACGTTCCATTTTCGGTTTTCACAAAGTGTACCCCCATATATAAATCACAGACGTAGTCCTAGGTCAAAAAATTACAGATGCATCACTATAATAACTGTCAAAATCCTATGAATTTACACGTTATTGTTGGTGAATTCTGCTTGGCGAACTGAAATTTGATAATTTTGGGCCGTCTCCGAGTTGAAGTAGAGCTATACATTGTTGGTTGTGACAATATTCATGCTTCAAATGGATTAGCGCGTTTATGGGTGGCGCTGTGCTTAGTTCGGTCCAACAGCAATTGAACCTCTGAAATTGGATTGGAGCGTCTTTGTGTAAATGCAAGAATGGCAAAAAGTTAAGAGAAATATTTCTGAATACTTGTTGTTCTAGTTCCTCAGGAGCGGATAAATTCAGAGATTAAACTATCCAATGAAAATTTAGAATTATGATCCTGCATGGATCGACAAATTTTTGATTGCTTGAAGTAGCAAATTATGATTAAATATTGAACTCAGGGTCACATGGACCAACATTTCTAATTATGTGAGTATGAGCATGAGCATTATTGACCGCTCACGCTTGTGTAGTAGATAGAGTTAGTGTTGAATAGAAATGAGTAGAATCAAGTGAACGTGAAGCGTGATAGACCGTATGTAAACGGAATCTGATTGGTTCGGGAATTTTTATGCAGCTAAAGGTACAAATATAAGGTACCTAAGCTCGTTGATGGCATTCTTATGACGGACTGTGGAGAGAGCGGACGATAGCGGCACTAGCGGACCAACAGAGGTAGCAGCAGATTCGTGGAACCGTGACTGAAGCTGGAAACCTCGGTCCGGTTACTACATCGGACCACCAGCTGAGCGGTAGATTCGTGGAACCGTGACCGAGGCTGGAAACCTCGGTCCAGTCATCGTAATGGCGCAACTCGGTAAGTGAGAACCATCCTCTTTCTTGCGAGGATGCTACTGGCGCTCTCTGAGAGGGCAGTTGAAATTATCGTGAAAGGGTAGATGAAATTTCCCCGAGAGGGTAGAAGAAATTCCCCCGAGAGGATCGAAGAAATAGCAGACATTCCTCCGAGAAGGTAGAAAAAATTCCTCCGATAAGGCAGAAGAAATTCCTCCGAGAAGGTAGAAGAAATTCCTCCGAGAAGGTAGATGACATTCCTCCGAAAGGGTTGAAGAAATTCCCTCGAGACGGTTAATAAAATGCCGCGAGAGTTATTGCCAGACCAGCTGTAATTACACAGAGAACCAATAGACGATGCTTGGGACTAGCAATCATCCTCAATGTGTAAAAACTGGTGATCTCAAACTAGGCAATACCAGCGCCGGCCGCGCCCGAACACAGGTCAAGAAAGGAATGGGTAGGAATATGGTGACATGACACTCGCTTTGATGGAAGCCAAGAACACCTCTGCACTTCCACGAGGAATCACTGGGATGTTGGAGAATCGCTCTCACTGAGACTTGGCTCGATACTCGCACATTGCAAATCAAGTGTTTGGTTCCGAATACGAGGTTTTTCGATACGATCGGAATCCGCACAACAGCCGCAAATCTACTGGTGGAAGCGTTCTCATACAGGTCGGCTCTGGATTGAAGGCAAAAGTTATCGAAAACGATTCATGGAATTGGGTGGAGCAAGTTTGGATTGCCATTAAGCTCGCTGACCGCACTTTGTTTTTGTGTGTAGTTTACTTTCCTCCGGATCGAACTTGCGACTCTACGCTAATTGAATCCCACAGTCAGTCTATTCGAGCTATAATGGAGATCGCTACAGCTGCTGACGAGATGATAATCATTCGCGACTTCAATCTACCGGCAATTTCTAGGCGACCATCTTACGATGGATTCCTGTATCCGGACCACGACCGTTCTACATTTCACTCTGGAGCTGTAAGCCTTTTGGATCATTACAGTATCGCCACTCTGAAGCAATCAAACCACGTGGTTAATGAGAACAATCGTAGCCTAGACCTTTGCTTCGTCACCGCTCAGGATACTGCTCCGCATTTGTCTATGGCTGTTTCTCCGTTGATAAAGGCTGTTCCACACCATCCTCGTTTAGTTATTGCACTTGAAGGCAACCAAATTCCTGAGGTCATTCCCCCCCTAGAGGTCTCCTATGATTTCCGAAATTCTGACCACGACAGTATCGGGGAACTTCTTTCGAATTTGGACTGGCACAGGATACTCGTCCCTGCCGATGTCAATGCAGCTGCCCAAACGCTCTCACATATTTTGGCTTACGTCATTGAGCGACACGTTCCGAAAAAAGTTCCTAAACCAGGTAATCATCATCCTTGGCAAGCAAGTGAACTCCGTATGTTAAAGTCTTCCAAAAGAGCCGCGCTAAGAAAATACACAAAGTACCAGGCATGGAAAATCATTTGCATTCATTTCGTGCATTCATTTTACATTCATTTGTCCCTAACTTTTTTCATCAACAGAATTCCACTAAGTGATGTATGGAGTTTTTGTAGTTATTAGCTACAACTTTTGTTAACAACTCAAATCCGTATCTCTTATGCATGACGAACCATAGCGAACAGAAGCCACTACTGTTTTTCAGTGAATGTATTTTACATTCA